CACCCCACCTGTCACCAGGAAATAAAACGAAGTCTCTAATGAAAGGTCAGTCATGCTAGCAATCTGTTTACGGCAATCTAACTAAAACCTCATATTTTAAGAGATGCTGCAGCCGAAATCTACCTTATTTTCACCACTAGCAATAGGAGTTAAAAGCTACAGTACTGGCAGTGAACTTGGAAGTTATTCTCACTTAGAAATGTAATTATAGAGTCTCCCTGGCTGGTGTGCTAAGTGGTTAGAGCATTGGCCCATCCACTGAAGGGTCACAGGTTTGATGCCTGGTCAGGGCAGATACGCAGGTTGTGGGTTAAAGCTGCGGTTAGGGCAGGTGTGTGAGGCAACTGATCAAGTTTCTCACTCACAATGATATTTCTCTCTCCTTTTCCCTTCCTCTCTCTCTGGATTCAATGAAAAAACATATCCTTGGATGAGGATTTTAAAAAATGTAATTAAAGAACAAGCAATCACACTTCCATGTTGTTTATAAATCAAGTGAGTTACTTGGCCTTACAACAAAAACAAAACCCCACTGGGTTCTAGAAAACACAAACTGCCCAGGAGAAGTACCCCTGCCTGCCAATACTTTCCCAGCTGGGAAAAACAGCATCATGCAATTACTCTGTTTGCTTCCAATAAAAAACAGAACAGAAGAGAAAAATAAGAAAGACGTATTCTCCAACTTCCCCTAGACCAGAGGTGAATTTCAGGATTGTTTCTGGGACCTTTGCAGTCAAACCATTCACTCTTGGGAGGGTAGGTAAACTGAATGAATAGTTGTTTCTTAATCCCATTTCCTTATCCTATCTAATAAAAGAGAAACATGGTAATTGGCGTACAACCGCTACTCTTCCCATTGGCTAATCAGCAAGATATGCAAATTAACTGCCAGCCAAGATGGCGGCCGGCAGCAAGGCAGCTTGAAACTAACATGAGGCTTGCCTGCTTCAGTGACAGAGGACTCCAACGTTCCCCGCCTGCAGCTGCAGGCCTCTGAGGCTGCAGGTTAAGAAACTCTGTA